GTGGGAAACATGCAGTTATGTGGTGACACCAAACCTTAGCACAGCAGTAATTCACAGAAGATGAGACTCACCCGTGTTGTTGCCGACCGGACGATCCTCACCTTCGACAAACAACATTTCAGAATCACTCACAAGAAATCACAATCGTCTGCTGTAGCTACATATTTGCTTTTATCGACATAACCAGACGCTCAACTTGGTTGTGTCTGCTGCTAATCTACAAATCTTTCTCCAAACCAAGTCTACTCACTGGTTACATTGAGGTACATCATGTTCTCAAGAACTCAGAAGTCAGAGAGCTTCACTTCTTGGATTCTCAGAAACACCTCCGTTTTATTGGAGCTCATGTGAAACTTCCCGTCTTTAAATCCATCACTAAATGAAGGATGTCCGTCAGATACAAAAATTGACACAAAGCAGCGAGGTTTAGGCTGAGTTTACACGGAGACAATGTGGCAGTAAAACGGTATAGTTGGATGTCGGTTACTACCAAGCGTTCATACGAAGACTGTGTTCCCGGAGGGTCAAAACGTAAGTGTTCAGATCCAGCCTGCAAAGTGGGACAACTCAGATACGCTGCACAGGGGGAAGCTTTTTCACACCCGCGAGAGGGAGAAAGGTGTGAAATCCCCCGTTTGCTCTGACCCCCGCCTCCGCACTGCTCCCCGCACGTACATTTGAACATGCGCAGTAGCGGAGAACAAACGAAAACAACAATGGCGCCGGGTACACTAACTAGCTTCGTGGGCTTCGAGCGCGGCACAGGGGATATTTCTGCACCTTCGTTCGTCCAAACGAGACCACGCGAAGCTCTAGGTTCAGTTTCCATTTTCACAGCTGCTTTTAAAAGGCAGAATGATGTTGGTGCGTTCTTCCTCTGTTCTTCCGCCTCTTTCCAGAGGAAGTGAGTACACTGCCGGGGGGGGGGGGGGGGTCGTGTGAGTGTTGTAAAGTTTCTCTGCCCACTACTGGCCGGGCGCTAGAACTACATCGTTTTTCAAATTCGTATGTACGCTGATATTTTGCATTAGGGGCCATGTCGTTTCTGATAATAGCCTGGAAACGTCAGCGCGTCAGTGGGTATGCTCGTGTTCTCCAAATCGTTAGCTACAAAATGAGACCTTCCCTGAGGAGATACATGCTCGAGTTTGACTGCAACAGGCCCGTGGAGAGGAGGCTACGGCCGGTGGTCGAATCTCTCCATCGGATACTCGAGGGTTCATGGGAGTTCGCCCAACCTGTCCACATGTGCTTTGTGGATTTGGAGAAGGCGTTCGACCGTGTTCCCCGGGGTGTCCTTTGGGGGATTCTCCGGTAGTACAGGGTCCGGGGTCCTGTGCTGAGGGCCGTCCTGTCCCTGTATGACCGGACTCAGAGCTGCGTTCGCATCGCCGGCAGTAAGTCAGACCTGTTCCCGGTGCATGTTGGCCTCCGCCAAGGCTGCCCTTTGTCATCGGTTCTGTTCATTGTGTTTATGGACAGAATTTCTAGGCGCAGCCACGGGCCGGAGGGGGTCCGGTTCGGGGACCACAGGATTTCATCTCTGCTGTTTGCAGACGATGTTGTTGCTGGCTCCAACAAACTAGGACCTGCAACATGCACTGGGGCGGTTTGCAGCGGAGTGTGAAGCGGCTGGGATGAAAATCAGCACCTCCAAATCTGAGGCCGGAAAAAGGGTCCTTGCCCTCTCCAGGTGGAGCAGTCCTTCCTCAAGTGGAGGAGTTCAAGTATCTCGGGGTCTTGTTCAAGAGTTAGGGAAGGATGGAGCGTGAGATTGACAGGCGGATCGGTGCAGCGTGCACAGTGATGCGGTCGCTGTATCGGACCGTCGTGGTGAAGAGGGAGCTTTAGTGTATATTTACATAAATTAGAAGGCTCTAGCTTTAAAATGATGCATCATTGCTCCTCCTGCGCTTGCCAAGGTCAGACGTGTCTCCTCCTGCTTCTGCTCTGCTTGCCCTGACTGTCTTTTTTCCAGAGTTCTGCCTGCGTATGCAACTTGAAAGCGATGGAATTGATCAACTGGTCCCTCAATGAAATTGATGCTATTTTTTCATCGCGTAAAGGCGGTTCTGGAGCCTGTCTAGACGGTACGGCGGCTGCTGGGTACGTTTTTGACAACTGGCAGAAGTGGCACCCCATCTGTCTGTCGGGACAATCCATCGAGTACATTGAGGATATATACATTTTTGGATTTATGGTAGCAGGGTTCCTCCTGATTGGATTTGGAGTTGGCCTGATCTACCTCAAAGTCGGAGGAATGTCCACTCAGAAGATTTATGAGCGGCTTTCCGCGGAAAACAAGAAGAGTTTCCGTGAGTTGACCAGGGTCGTGGTCGAGGGCGCTGTGGGACACAGAGGGCTGTGGTACAGATCGAACATTCCCTTAGAGACTTGGGAGTGAGGTCTATGGAAGGACATAAACGTTTGGAGGGATTGATTGAAGGACTTGGTCCTAATGACGAACACTTGCACTGACGTGGTCAACTCCTGATAACGGTGAACAGAGGGATCCAGTTCCAGTTAATTTGGACTTATTTGACGTTAAAGTCTACACTGCCTTTTATTTGACCAGCTAAAGTGCTTTACAAATTTCCCACAAGGCATATGTGTTGTTTTGTCTCCCACGTCCGCAGGCACCTGCTCTTATCTGTGTTCTCCACATTCCACCACACAGCCGGCCTTCCAAGGCTGAAGAAGATGGACTCTCTCTCTCATAACTCACAGACTATCAGTCCCCAGTTGTTTGGCTCACCCCCTCCCTCTACATGTCTGCCTCTCTCTCTCTTTCTGTCTATGGTGGTCTTCCCCTCCACCTCCCCCACCCACACTCCCCTCTGACACGCCATATTGGACGAGGTGCGTCCAAGTGACAATGTCCCTTAAAAAAGATCTGTATGCTTTCCCAGCATGCACTGTTTCCATCCAATAATGTCTGTTGTAATATATGTTTGTTTTGCTCTCTGCTGTCGAATAACTGTCAAAAGGAGCGCGGATATGTTGTCCGCAGCCGGCCTTGATGTTTATTCATCGAATTGAATTTCTCCATCTGTGAGATAATAAAGGATTGGTTGATTGATTGGTTGATTGATCACACAAGCATGTGACATGTAAGATGTGTTTTTAAATAAGAAAAGACATTTGGGTATTCCCAACTTTTGTGCACAAGCCAAAATGAGGCGGGTGTTAAGACGTTGGTCTAGACAAGTTTTTATTCAACACAAGAATCCAGAATGCCTTTTCTGAGTCTTCGGAAAATTTGGGTTAGGGTCTTCCAAGTTCTGCCAGGCAAACGGCGGAGCGAACTCTTCCCAAACCTAGCAAAGGAAATGCTGAAGATTGCTCATGAGAAATTTTGGCTGCCATCAACTCTGCAAGCTGAGATTTCACAAAAAGTAAAAAAGATTTCTGGGGCGACAGTAACTCAGTTGGTAGAGCACTGGTCTTTGGATCTAATGGTTGTGGGTTTGATTCCACCACGACCCATGTCATCTGCTCCCACTGATGTCTGCTGTCATTGTGTCCCTGGGCAAGACACTTAACCCCACATTGCTTGAAGCCCCCACTGATAGACCAAAGCCAATGTCTTCAATGAGGGAAAAGCCCCCCCCCCCGACCTTGAAATGGATTTATAAAGGGGAAGACAATGACATGACATGATGACATAAAAAAGATTTTGAGCCAACATTTGCCAGTATATTGGCAGCTGACGATGTGGATGACCGATAGAAAAAGCTGAAAAAAAAATGCAAACCTGTACTGCTTTGACTTCAAAAAGAGTAAAAACCTGATCGGCCTGCCGGAATCCTAAGAAGTGTTTGATATGAGTGAATGACCTGGAGAGGTGGATTTCAGAAGTGCTCAGTGACCTCAAATTACCCACCAATAATTGAAAAGGTGAATACCAAGACCCCACTGTGCAGGCGAGAGCAGTGGTTATGAAGCTGCTTAAAAACACTTTGTGTCATGAGAGCAGCAGAAGAGACACATCTACCCCTCATCACTCACTCCGTACACTGGCCTGTTCACTTCTCTGCCAGATAACTCTATTTCTGTCAGTAGTCCATCCAGCTCTTGTGAAATTCAGATCTGACCTACTGTATGGGGATGTCTTTATTGCTGGGTTGCAACCACGTAACCATAAGAGGGTGTGGCAGGGGGCCGTAGGACAGGAAGTATTTTTCTCCTATTAGACAGAAGGGGTGATGCGGGAAAACGCACACACAGGAGCTTTTCGTGGCTTAGTTTAACTCTTATTATGGGTGAAAACTATTTTCAATGCAGCGTACGCCTTGTACAGTTTTAATTAGTAAAAAAATTTCAACAATGGGGAGGATTAATCAGCTGTTACAGTGACGACAGTGGAGTCTCTCTGGGATCAACAGAACCACGTCTGAGATGATAGCTCAGATCAATAATACAATAAATAGGGCACAAATTTTACTTTTTACATTTGAGGCAAGAAATATGACCCTTTATTGTCAATTCAGTGATTTGTTGAGCTGTAGATAATAAAAAGTTCAGACTTAGATTCCGGGGGGGAGCTCCGTGGCATTAAGCTAGCAGTGAAGGCTGCAACGAACGAGGCCGTCCTGGGGGCACAGAGCTCGGAATCAACTTCAGATATTACCCTGGTCCTCACAGTCCTCGACCCTGGTCCTCATGGTCCCAGTTGTGGAAATAACGATAAACAATCACTCCTATAACACAATGGCTAGTTAGATTATATGTAAGAAGACATAGATTGTACAGCCTGTTTTTATTTTTGTAATACACATGTACTCGTTGGTCTACCACACAAAATACTGCATTGTAACTATGAAAATCAGCAAAGTAAAGACTGCAGGCTCAGCTGTGTCTGTGGCAGCAGATGCTACACTGGTTAATGCTAACGCATCTCTTCCATTCCTTATCAGGCATTTTCCTAAAAATAAACACCGTTTTATATTTTAGCAAAATAGAGACTCCATAAGTTCTGCACTTGATATGAGCAGTTGCCACAACTGCAAACGCCACAGAAAAAGAGTATTTTGACTCAGAATCAGTTCATTTCTACATCATCTTAATGGGGAGATTTACTTCCTGTCCCTCGGAAGACTTTCGCACCGCTGCAACCCAGCAATACTTACCTGCTGCTTCGTGTCTCTTCGGGTTGTGTCGGTTGTGTCTTGTCCATATATACCTCCAGTCAGCTCCCGACCTCGTGTTTATGCTCCGGCGATTCGTCATTGAGATCCTTATGATCCTAATTTATGGTATTTTTCTTCTACTTTTAATCATAGTAATTTTAACGTGAGGATAGCACTGAAGCAAGGCTGTTGGGAAAGCTCCCGGTAGAGCGACTATAGAGACCAGTTAAGTGGAATGGGGACAAGTCGGGCTGGTGGAAACAGGGATTTAGAACTACATGACAATTTTAATCTCTATTTTCAGTTTGAGACTCTTCTTTCATCCTTGGGTTGGTTGAATCAGCGTTGGCGCTTTAGCAGTATAATAAACTTTAGGTTATTTACTTTGGAATTTCATATTTTAGCAAATGAAATGGATAAACACAGAAAATGGAGTAAGAGAGCAATGATTTAGATCCATATCAATTAAGTAAGGGATAACGTATATTACGCAGGTCATTATCGGAAAATAAGTACCGACAGGGCGAAGCGGACCCCGACGCGCAGCGGAGGGGTCTGCTTCCGCCCTGAAGGTACTTATTTTCCGATAATGACCTGCGTAATATACGTTATCCCGCTTATTATACGGCTTTATACCAACAGAACACACAACATAAACTTCAGTCCACTTTTAGGAATGCCGAAAGGTTTATTTAATGACAGAAAATAAAATAGTTCCCAAAGGCTTTCCCGTGGCTATGCTAGCAAGTTAGGCTGGCAACTTCCAAACTAGAACTCTCTGGAACTGCATGAAAACTGAACAACGAATTCTGAACATCAGCAGTGAGTGATCCATACATAAACCTAAATCCATAATTCGATCCTCTGCAAATGTGTCCGAAAATGTGCCGGTATCTACTTCCGGGTTTTTCGGGATCGCCTTTTCTCGCATTACATCAGTGTTTTGGTCATGAAAACGTAAACGGAAAATTCTGAAAACTTCCGTGCACTTGTATTAAGACTGGATATGTATAAATTTCTCTCCGATTAACATTTGATTGCGTTGATTGATTGGCATTTGCGTTTATTGAGCGGCCGGAACTACTTCCGGGTTTTTCACGATCGCTTTTTGACGCAGAGAAATAGTATTTTTGTCACGAAGACAAGACCAGAAAATTCTGAAAATTTCCGTGCACGTGTGTGAAGAATGTAACTATATGTATAAGTATTCTCCGATTAACATTTAAGTGTGTTGATTGAGCGTGGCTCCGGAGTGGCCGGAACTACTTGCGGAGTTATCCACGCATTTGAAAGACAAGCAGAGAGTGCGTTGCCATGGGCAGCGGTCATTATTGTTTTGAGAGGTCCGTTATAGAAAATAATGACCGGTAGAACGTTTTGAAATTACATTCAAATCAATGGAGCGTTCTACTGCTGCTGTGAGGAGCCGTATAATAAAGTGGTCTAATTGATGGAACCCAGTTGTGAACAAGGTAATATGAGAGGACAGTTTGGCATTGTGTTGCGCTACTAGAACGTATTACTTACTGATAACATCCAAGTATGTCGTCTCTCCAAGGACTATGTTGGACATCATTAAGAATCCGCAGAAGTACAGGCCAGAATCAGAGGGATTTACTTTATGGATGGTCAGAAAAACAGCAGATGTATTGGAGCTCATTCCAAACCTCCCGTCTTTAAATCCAGAACAAAATGAAGATGGACCATCAGCTCCATAAATTGACACGATGCAGCGAGCTTTAGTTCCATTCTCCACTCTGAACCAGTCCACTTGAGTTTCATCTTTGGAAATGTTTGAACTGGACAAAATGATGTTGTCTCCTGGGGCTATCGTCAACTTCTTGTAACCCAACACATTCGCCGCGCAAACTGTTGAAAACAACACTTCAGTTAAGACTATTAACTTTGAGGAATTCATTGTATTAAACACGACCACTTTAATGAGCTTCCAATAGTTTGACTATTGACATTAATCAAACAATGACATCTACAAATGACAAAGGCATTTGAGCAGTTGTTACCAAGCTAAGTGTATGTTACTCACAGAGAACAGAGAGCAGAAGGAGCCTGAAGGTCTTCATAGTGATGACTCTGGTCTGAGCCTCTAATACTCTGCTTTGGCTTTTTATCTCTAAAACAATGGGAGGAGCATCAGTCTGTCTTTCATGCCATCCCCTAATGCTACTGGTCTCACAATTAAAGAAAAAGAAGAAGCACATTTACTTTATTGATCCCACAATGGAGAAATTCATTTGGATAAATATTCATATACACATATCACATCAAGGAAAACTAGCTTTTAACTTTGTTCTTTAGAGAAACTCCTGAATCATGAAGGACTTTCCTTTCCTTTTCCTGGGCGGCACGGTGGCTGAGTGGATAGCACTCTCGCCTCTCAGCAAGAAGGTCCTGGGTTCGAATCCCGGCCGGACCAGGGGTGGAGTTTGCATGTTCTCCCCGTGTCTGCGTAGGTTTCCTCCGGGTACTCCGGTTTCCCCTACCACTAAAAATATGTACAATAGGTCTGGCATGCGCCTCCTGTTCGGCGACCCCGCTCCCATCTCTGTGTGGAGTGAGAGACAAGTGCCCAAAAATAACAATTGTAAACCGATTTGTGACTCTGGTCTGTGAAAGGCGGTATATAAATAAAGCTTACTTACTTACTTACTTACTTAAACAACAGATAATCCAGAACTGTGCTTCCTCACCCAAAAAGTTAAAGCTTTATCTATGAAAACATCAGTCACAAACACGTCCCCCCACCCCTTCTGTTCAAATGCTCTGTTTTCAAACCCGCTAAGACAAGTTCTTGACTATGACCTGGAACATGTTCAACAGAAGAATGATGAGGTTTTTACAAAGATACAGAACAACATGAAGAGGATTGTCTGTATCATGCCTCCAACCTCCTTTATGGTCCTTAAGTTGTTGGCGTCACCTTCAAAACAAACATATTGATTCTAAATGACTTTTGGGAATCGGTCAAATCTCTTTGTTTAGAACTAAATGTTTTGAATAAGATGGTTGGATATTAGAATATTCCAACAAGATGTAGTTTCCCACTTCTACCACTGGATGGGAGTGTTCTGCTCATTCTGATCATGTCTCTTCCATTCTACAAGTAAATCCTTATATTTATTATCACAGAAATATGAAATACCAAAGAAAGTTAAAAGCCAAAATGAACAAAAAAACATCTGTGTCATTGTTTAACCTTGTAACGATTGGTCTAGTCTTTTAAATCTATGTTTAATGATTTTTATGACTTATATTAAAGCCATAGACAAAATCCAATCACAAAATAGTTTGAAATGGGCAAAATACTTTATCACTTTATTACTTTGTTCCACTCTGTCAGCGTCTACTTTCTATTCTCTCAGAGACAGATAAATGTGGTTAAACAGGAAGTCCAATGTGGTCTCAGCAACATGGCACAGACCTGACAACAGTTGTGTATCGAGATATAGTTCCATGTAATGTCCATGAGAGAGACCAGAATCTGTACTATGTCTGGAGTTTGCAGGTTCTCCCCCCGTGTCTACGTAGGTTATCTCCGGGTGCTACGGTTTTCCCGATCACTAAAGTCATGTACAATAGGTCTTGCATGTGCCTCCTGCGACATTTCCCCCATCTCTGTGAGGAGTGAGAGACAAAACAGAAGAGAAAGAAGAGTCCAGTTGCTACATGCATCAGTATCGTCCTGCTTTGGTCCACACAGCATCAGGGCTTCAATACGACTGTCCAGAGACTTCATCTTGTACTCGAGTAAACCACATGAGGCTCCATCTGTCTGAGTGAACGCTGGGGTCTTTGTGCAGCTCTAACTCAGCCTCATGTTCAGTCAAACAGAAGCAGTGTCATAAAAGCAGCCATCGTCCACTACGACCTCGAGCAGAACTGTGGACACAATCTATTCACATTTGTGGACTGTGTTTATCCTGCTCCCTCTGGACCAATGGCTCTTTGTGTTTGTTATTATTGCATTACCTGTTTTACTTTACCTCGGACCTCTCTGGTGTCTCACTGGACCTCCTTCCTGACCCCTGACCTCTCTGGTGTCGCCTTGGACCTCATTCCTGACCTCTCTGGTGTCTCCTTGGACTTCCTTCCTGACCTCTCTGGTGTCTCCTTGGACCTCCTTCCTGATCCCTGACCTCTCTGGTGTCTCCTTGGACCTCCATCCTGACCCCTGACCTCTCTGGTGTCTCCTTGGACCTCCTTCCTGACCCCTGACCTCTCTGGTGTCTCCTTGGACTTCCTTCCTGACCTCTCTGGTGTCTCCTTGGACCTCTTTTCTGACCTCTCTGGTGTCTCCTTGGACTTCCTTCCTGACCTCTCTGGTGTCTCCTTGGACCTCCTTTCTGACCTTACTGGTGTCTCACACACAGAGTTATAATTAATGGTGAACCTTCAGCATCATTGGAAACGTCTCAAAGCAACAGTTGTTTATTACTTGTTTGTGAAACTTTAGTAAGACAATTCAAAATCAAATCTTTGTGTTTATGGTTGAAAACATAACACACACACACACACACACACACATACACACACACACACGTACAGCCACACACACAAACACGCACACACACATACATATACACATACACACACACATGGATACATACATACGCACGTAGATATCATTATTTGGACATATTTTATATATCCAGCAAAAAACATTCTTTCCCCATTTATTGTGTGTAGTTGTGTGAAGCCATATCTTTTCAAATAAACATGTTTTTAATCAATCACAATGTTTATTCCAAAAAACATAATGACCGACCTTCGTACATGTTTTGAAAAGGGGTTGGATGAACCGGACCCTAATACACTTCCAACCCAACACCGATCAAAACGGTTCAAAAACTATTGAAAAACAAAAGTAGAAAAGTAACACAATTACATAAATGGTACAAGGTGTACAGGTGTGTGTCGCCTATACACACAGGCCCAAACACTCTCTGACCCAACACCCCCTACCCCAATCACATCACCCCCATCCTCAAACTACTTCACTGGCTCCCTGTTCGAGTCTTCTGAACCCTGAGGACCTTCTGAACCCTGAGGACCTTCTGATCCCTGAGGACCTTCTGAACCCTTAGGACCCTCTGAACCCTGAGGACCTTCTGAACCCTGAGGACCATCTGAATCCTGAGGACCTTCTGAACCCTGAGGACCCTCTGAATCCTGAGGACCTTCTGAACCCTGAGGACCCTCTGAACCCTGAGGACCTTCTGAACCCTGAGGACCTTCTAAACCTCAAGGACAGCTGAGTAAGCCTTTTGTTGCAGCTACCCTCACTCTCTATAAGATCTAGTATTGTGATTATTATTATTATTATTATTATTATTATGGCCTTATCAAACATCAAATACTTGAATGAAGTAGTTTTTTTTTTATATTTTCTCACTAAATTCCTATGTTCAGACTTAAGCTGTATTCTATGTATATTTTATTAGTAATATAAAATATTACTAATTGCTTGGTTCTGCGGTCTCGAACCAAGCAATGTGAATATATTACGCATGCGCAAGATGGCGGACGCATTTGTTTGGAGCCTTTTTTGAGCTGCACGTTTTTTTTATGATTTATTTTTAAACTAAGTTTCTTTTACTGGTTTTATTTTCCCTGCTCGACGGAGTAAGCGGATTTTAACAGACTGCATCAAAAAGGATTACTGTCACTTTTAACTGGACTGTTTATCAGCCTTTTACCGGTAACCAGCCTGCCCACACACATCACCATGGACACCGATGCTCCCCCCGCGAACTCATACAAACAGATATACAAATCACAACTGGCTTCAATCCTCCCATCCAAACCTGTTAACACCATGACCCCCGAGGAACTTCAGCGCACTGTCAAAGAACTATCCACCGAACTCATACATAAAGAGAAACTTCTGGAACATTTCATGGACATATCATTCAAACAGTCACAGCAAATATCCCTCTCCGTACTTAGACACTCACAGCTCCACGACACTGCACTCTGGGATCCAATCGCCTGTCCTCACCCCTCATCATGCTCTACCCCGGTGCTTACCTCACGCTCCCCGGTTGCAGCTGCTCCTCCTGTCCCTCTTGGTGCTCTTCCCTCCTCCTCAGTCCCGGAGCCCACTGCCCATACCCAGAGCGGCGTGGAGCAGAGGCCTGGAGGCCACACAACATCCACGGCGTCCTCGCGCCGCAGGTTGGTGGAGGAGGCTGTGCGCAGACGCTCGGGGAGCTTCCCACGCTCTAAAACAGCGCGGGGCTCTCCGGGTGTCAAGCAGGACCAACTGCGGGAAGCCCCGGGGGGATCTCTGTGCCCCGACGCGGCACCGGATACCCCCGGGAGCGCTGTCCCTGCTGTGGGGGGGTCCGTGCGCTCTGACGCGGAGGGAATCCCCAGAGGCGAGACACAAAGCAGGTCCTACGCTGAGGTGGCCGCGGGGGGACCTCTGCGCCCTGGCACGGCGTGGAGTCCTCCCGTAGACGCTGCATCGCTCGCGGGGGGGTCCCTGCGCCGTGCCGCGGCGCAGAGTCCTCCCGTAGTTGCTGCCTCGCCCGCGGGGGGGTCTCTGCGCTTTATCTCAGCGCGGAGCTCCCCCGCGGAGGCTGTCTCGCCTGCTGGAGGATCTCTCCGCCCGGTGCATGGCCCTCCCACAACCGCCCGCACTACCACCACCACCAACCCCGCTGCAGGGGCGCCGGTTCGGTCTCCGGCTCCCTCCTCCTGCTCCACTGCGGCTCACGGGGCTCGCAGCAGCTCTGCTCCGGGCGCATCCCAACGCTTTCCTGTCCCCTGCTCTCCCCCGGGCCCTACTCCAGTCACACCCTCCCCTCCACGACCTCTGTTTGCACCAACTACACTCCTGGTGGGAGATTCTATCATCAAACACTGTAAGTTCTTCAATGCCATCACGCACTGCTTTCCCGGAGCCACTGTCCCCACCATCCTCACTAAACTACCCGCACTTCTACAGACAGCACCCCCCACAATAACCCGGATCATAATTCATGTTGGTACAAATGATGCTGCACTCCGCCAATCTGAAATCACCAAACTCCATTTTAAGGACCTTTTTAACCTTTTATCAAAAACCGGAAAAAGTGTTTTTATCTCTGGCCCTCTGCCCACGTTGAACCGGGGCGTGGAACGTTTTAGCAGGATACTATCACTCACCACTTGGCTTCAAAAATCATCACAGCAGCACAACTTTGGTTTTATTGACAATTTTAATTTGTTCTGGAACCGCCACCCCTTCTTCACACCCAATGGACTCCATATCAATAAACTCGGCACCCGGTACCTGATTTCAAACATCACCCACTCAGTTCAATCCCGTCCCCCGCACCTCTGACAACCCATCACTCCATCCCACATCATTCCTGCCCCGCTGGACTCCAACATCAGTACCTGCTCCCCCCTCCAGCAAGGAATTTCAGTTCTGTCCAGACCCCGCCCCTACAGACCGTCCATACTCCGGAAACCGTCCCTCAACACCCTCATCCCTGTTGCCCTTTGCTCCTCCACATCATCTTCTCCCCTCACTACAAACAAAAATGACTCTCCATCCACCATCAGGTTTGCTCTTTTAAATGTACGCTCTCTTTTAAATAGAACTTTTATCATTAATGATTTGATTTTACAACACAAACTGGATGCTATGTTTTTAACTGAGACCTGGCTGGGTCCGGATGCTCCGGCTGTTCTCACAGAGGCCTCCCCTCCCGATTTTAGCTTTGCTTTTAAAACAAGAGAAGGAAGAAGAGGTGGTGGCACAGCCTCAATTTGGAAAAACACCCTGGCCACCAAAACCATTAATTTGAACCAATACTCAAGTTTTGAGTATCATGCCCTTGTTTTTAGCAGCCCCGAAATTTTAGCAGTAACCATCTATCGGCCACCAAAAAAGTGCAGCCGTTTTATCAATGAATTTTCAGAGTTTTTATCTTTTTTATACAATTCCTATAATAGGATTGTTTTAACCGGTGATTTTAACATCCACTTTGACAACCCATCAGACCATTTTACCTGCGAGTTTGTAAGTATTTTAAATTACATGGATTTTACTCAACATGTCACACAGCCGACGCACAACAGAGGGCACACCCTCGACCTGGTCATTACTTATGGCCTGAGTGCGGGTGTGTCCTCTGTTGTTGACCTGGCTATCTCTGACCACTATTGTGTGTTTTTTTTAATCACTGGTTTTGTTAAACAGGAGACCTCTGTGAGAACTGTGAAGAAACGACGTCTAACCCCTGAAGTGGCTGCAAATTTTATGGACATTCTAAATAACACTCCTCAGTTGGTTTTACCTGCCCCCTGTGATTTTATAGCAGATGATTTTAACAGTAGACTAAGAACTACACTGGATCAGGTTGCTCCATTAAAAATTGTAACCATTCAACAAAAATCTATAGCCCCTTGGAAAAATGAGGAAGCAAGGAGTATGAAAAGACAGTGCAGGGTGGCAGAGCGAAGATGGAGAAAAAATAAAACGACAATCAATCACGAAATATATAAAAACCGACAGCAAATTTACAACAACACAATCAGGAAAAACAGGAACAATTACTTTGCAAAACTAATCAGCCAGAACAAAAATAATCCAAAAATCCTCTTTTCAACCATCGACACCATTTTAAACCCTGATTTTAGCATGTCTCTTTTAACCCCCACAGACTCCCTCTGTGAGGACTTTGCAGTCCACTTCATGGGGAAGATAAATACAATCAGATGTAACATTTTATCCAACCGCACAACCGTTTTTAACACATCTGATTGTTTGTCTTCACCAGAGGAAACACTGGACAGTTTTGTCCTGGTTGATGCTGAGATGCTTGATAAAGTTTTCTCCTCAGTGAGGCCCACCACATGTCTTTTAGATCCAGTCCCCACTCCATTTTTTAAGTCATTTTATGAATCTTTTAGAGAGGAGCTTTTAAACCTGATGAATTGCTCTCTTCAGACTGGGGTCTTTCCTGCAGCCTTCAAAGCGGCTGTGGTGAGACCCCTTCTGAAGAAGAGCAATTTGGATTTTAATGATTTTAACAACTACAGACCGGTATCCAACTTACCATTTTTAAGCAAAATTTTAGAAAAACTTGTTTTTACCCAGCTCAATGCCTTTTTAGATCAGCAGCAAATTTTAGAGAAATTTCAATCAGGATTTAGGGTGAACCACAGCACAGAGACTGCTCTTTTAAAGATTTTAAATGATTTTAGACTAAATTATGATTCTAAAAAGGTGACCGTGTTGGTTCTACTGGATCTTAGCGCTGCCTTCGACACAGTAGACCACACCATTCTTTTATCACGCCTACAACACCTCGGCCTCTCTGGTGCTGTCCACAAATGGTTCACTTCTTATTTAACAGACAGATCCTTCATGGTAAGTTTGGATACCTGCTCCTCTCAGGTCCATAAAATCACATGTGGTGTGCCCCAGGGTTCCATTTTAGGTCCAGTCCTTTTTAACCTGTACATGCTCCCTCTTAGCGGTGTCATCAGGAGACATGGAATTAACTTCCACAGTTATGCAGATGATACACAGCTGTACATCTCTGTGTCTCCTGACGACACCAGGCCAATGGATGCTCTTTTTAACTGCATTTTAGACCTGAAATCCTGGATGGCAGAAAACTTTCTCCAGCTCAACCAGGACAAAACTGAGGTTTTAGTCATCGGCCCTGAGGCCCAGAGAGAGAAACTTTTACCGAAACTCCAATCACACTCTTTTAATCCATCATCACAAGTGAAAAACCTGGGCGTAATCTTTGACTCTGAGCTGACTTTTATTCCTCACATCAAGAACATCACAAAAATAGGTTTTTATCATTTTAAAAGAACATCGCCAGAGTCCGCCCCATTCTCTCTCGGGCCAACACGGAGACGCTGATGCATGCTTTTATCACCAGTCGCATTGACTACTGTAATGCCCTGCTCTCTGGTCTTCCCAAAAAGAACATTTCAGGTTTACAATTACTTCAAAACTCGGCCGCACGTGTCCTGACTAAGACCAGGGGGCGGGACCACATTACACCGGTTTTAAAATCGCTGCATTGGCTCCCCGTGTGTTTCAGGATCGATTTTAAGGTTCTTTTAATGGTTTTTAAATGTCTTAATGGTCTTGGGCCTTCTTATCTTTCAGATTTGCTTTTATCCTATGAGCCTTCCCGGCCCCTGCGCTCCTCCGGCAGCAGACTCCTAACCATCCCCAAAGTCAGGACACACACTCACGGCGAGGCATCTCTTTCCAGCACTACGGCCCCCGTCTCTGGAACAGTCTGCCGGAGGAGCTCAGGGCCGCAGAGAACGTTCATATTTTTAAGAGTAGGCTCAAGACGCACCTTTTTAGAGCAGCTTTTGATTAGTATTTATTATCTATTATTGCTTTTTAGTACATCTATTTATGTTTTTAGACGGATTATATTTTTATTTATTTTTATTATTTACTATTTTTAATTATTTATTGTATCTACCCATTTACTATTGTTATTATCAATATTAGGCAGCTGCCATTTTTTCTTTTTATTTTCACATTTTATTGTTCTACTTTCTATTGTATTATTGTATTGTTTTAGTGTCCCCAGTGTTTCCTCTGGAGGAGCCCTCTGCACTGAGAGCTGGGGTCTGCTGTGGCTTCGGGGGACTGGCTCTTGGATCCGGTGGGGGTCTGGGGCCTCCTCTCTCCTCTGGGTCCTATGGGGTCTGAGTCCTGGGCCTGGTGGGGTCTGGGGCCCCTCTCTCCTCTGGGTCCTGTGTCGTTGCCTGTGGCTGCAGCCGGCTCTCTGCTCCTGGTGCAGATGGCTCCTTGGATGACGCTTCTTCAGCCGGTTACATCTGCTCCCAGCCCCATTTCTTTTTATTGTTTTACCTATTTTACCTGATATGACTTTATACTTGTGTATATGTGTGTGTGTGTGTGTGTGTGTGTGTGTGTGTGTGTGTGTGTGTGTGTGTGTGTGTGTGTGTGTGTGTGTGTGTGTATTGTATATATAATTATAAATGTGGTTTTGGGGGGTCTGTGGGGAGGTGGGTTTAGGGCTGGGCATGTTGGATTGTTTTTAACTAAACTGTAAAGCCCTTTGTGTTACACTTTTTGTATGAAAAGCGCTTTATAAATAAAATTTGATTGATTGATTGATTGATAAATGATGAAAAAGATGAAAAGTCTCAATTGGAACAAGAAAATAAAATTTCTACCAAAAACAGTTACTTCCAAATACAAATAAATATAAAGATTTATTCCAAATCCAAGTGTTTTTTTGCCTTTCTTGTTTCCCATTTGTATTTGAAAAGAACTTAAATCATTGCAGTCTTTGCGGTTTGTTAAATGTGATCCGGAAACCTAAATCTTGATGAATCGTTTGCTCTTATTTTCCACGTGCTTCTATTTGATGACGGTGTAGACGACGTGTGTGCTCTCCGGTGTGTTTGGACGCCTGCTCCTCAGAGACGTGGCCATGAACACACGAGCAGCCACCAGAGAGCCCTGATCAACACACACAACATATTCACCTCCACCTCACTTTCACACATGGTATTTTAGATTTCAAAACAGAAAATCTTACCTCTGCTGTATCAACCGTTTGGTCTTTGGCTGCTGCTAAAACATAATAAAGAAACACACTTTACAGTCTGGGTTTCTCTGATCCATAATCGATATTTAAAACGTTACCTTTTTGGAGGCGGAGGAGTGTCACGCTCAGGCCAACAGTTATCAATCAATTTTTTTTTAATAAAGCGCTTTTCATACAAAAGATGCAACACAAAGTGCTTTACAGTTTGGTTAAAAACAATCCCTCCGGCCCATGACCCCTTCCCCCGACCACACAACAGACTTGGCAGGGTTCAGATGCAACCAGCTGAAAAAGCGTCATCCAAGAAGCCGTCTGCACCAGGAGCAGAGAGCCGCCCGTAGCCACAGGGAACGACACAGGACCCAGAGGAGACACGAAACCGAGGCACCAGACCCCCACCAGGTCCAAGAGTCCGACCCCCGCAGCCACACCGACCACTGCTCCCAGTGCAGAGGGCTCCTCCAGAGGAAACAGTGGGTATACTAAAAACAATACAATAAGTAAAACCATTAAAAGAACCTTAAAATCGATCCTGAAACACACGGGGAGCCAATGCAGCGATTTTAAAACCGGTGTAATGTGGTCCCGCCCCCTGGTCTTAGTCAGGACACGTGCGGCCGAGTTTTGGAGCAATTGAAGACTTGCAACATTTTTTTTGGGAAGACCAGAGAACAGGGCATTACAGTAGTCAATGCGACTGGTGATAAAAGCATCAGCGTCTCCATGTTGGCCCGAGAGAGAATGGGGCGGACTCTGGCGATGTTCTTTAAATGATAAAAACCTATTTTTGTGATATTC